GCACACGTGAGGCCGACCCCGGGCAGACATGGACCAGATGCTGAGGATACAGGCACACGTGAGGCCGACCCCGGGCAGACATGGACCAGATGCTGTCTACAAGGCAAGGGAAGAGGCGCCAGAGGAGCCAGCCCCTCTGCCCCTTGGCCTCAGATCTCTCGCCTCTGGGGCTGGAAGAGAATCAATGTCTGTGGTTTAGGCCGCCCAGTGTAAACGCCACCTGTTGTGACCTTTTCAGAACTAGGGAGAATCTGAACGCACCTGTTTCTGTGGTGTGAGTTAGCCATCAGTAGTTCCCTCAGGTTAAAGAGAAAACCAGAAATGTGGAAAGGCCGAGCTCCTTCTCTTCCCCCACCGCCGTGTTTCCATCGTAATCTTGGCTGCATTTCACCTGAAAGACTAGTAAAAAAAAAAAAAAAATTTGGTTTGGGCGGCGCCTATGGCTCTAGGAGCAGGGCGCTGGCCCCATATACCGGAGGTGGTGGGTTCAAACCCAGTCCCGATCAAAAAAAAAAAAAAAAAAAAATTTGGTTTTCTCTCTGTAAACCCATAGATGTCACTTACTGACAGCAGGGTGGTGTCGTCTGCCTGGGGAGCCGCAGCGGGGTGGGCAGCCCCGCCTCACCTCAGGAAGAGGAAACCGACTGATGTTTCCTGTGTTAACTCCAGACAGCGGCCGGGGCCCCTGCCACTCTGAGCGGGGCAATTTGGAGCGAGAACTCGAAATGGCTCAAATATGATATTCTCAGCCCACTAGTGGTCAGCTCCAGTTTGCATTTCTTACCTGCTGACATCTGACACTGTGGTAAGATTTGGCCTGGACTGCACACTAGGGGTCCTCAGATCACGGGACAGGTCACAGTGGCATGAAAAGAGAAAGGATAACTTGCAAACATTGGAACAAATCAAATCAGACAGCATGAGGGCAGGGAGTGGCCCGGGCATGTGGCTGGAGGACGGGCCAGGCAGCTGAGAGGCAGGAGGAGGAACGCCACCCTTCCTGGCATGAGACAGGCCTCAGGACAGGTGCGGGGACCAACTGGTGACTGTGCGAGGACTGGGGGCCTGGAAAGAAACACGAACACCGACGCCTGGCTGGACTTTCACAGCTGAGAAAAGCGAGTCACAAGAATATGTCCTTTCTCTGAGAACCGTTTCCAGGTTTAATGAAATTTGAGGCAAAATCCCAATGAGAGCATTAGTTAGAACTTCAGCACATGCATGGAAGAATCTGGAAGAATCAACAGGAGAGAAGAGCCAAGAAAACTTTGAAAAATACAAATAAAAATAATGAAAGGAGATGCTTACCCTGCCCACCAGATAAAACGCGCTCTAAATCTGTAATACTGCACTCCTGGCTTGGGAAACAGGAAAAGCAGATGGGGGACAGAACAGATGTCAGAGGGCAGGCCTGCATCCTGGAAGGCCAGGCAGACACCGGGAAGAAACGGGTATAAAATAAACAGTATTTTTCATCCCCTTACCTTGTGCTCTGAAAATGATTCGTAGCAGACTCAAGGATTAAGTGGAAAAGGAAAATCATTTTTAAGAGATATCTAGGCCAGGCAGGCTTGGAACCCCAGCACTGTGGGAGGCTGAGATGGGTGGATTGCCTGACTCAGGAGTTCAAGACCAGCCTGAGCCGGAGTGAGACACCCATCTCCACTAAAAATAGAAAAACTAGCTGGGCGTTGTTGTGAGCACCTATAGTCCCAGCTACTCTGGAGGCTCAGATAAGAGGATTACTTGGGCTCAAGAGTTTGAGGTTGCTGTGAACTATGATGCCACGGCACTCTACCCAAGATGACAGAGTGAGACTTGGTCTCTAAATAACTAAGGTATCTGTTTAAAGGGATGCGTTTCCAATTTGTGGCCTGGGGAGAGCTTTGGAAGCTCAGAAGAAATAGAAGGTGCCTCAAAGCAAGACTTCACAGATCTGTCTTTAATAGCAATTATTAAGGGCTTAAAATTTAAGATGTTTGTTAAAATTCATAAAGAACATCCCAACCCACAGAGCAAGATCCGAGCAGCAGCCCATTAAAAGTCACCCACTGGAGCCCGTTACCTGCCTGCACACCATTGCTGACCGTGGGGCTGGCGCTCTGGCCCCAGCTGACTAGAGTCTGACTTCCACCCTCCACTGACGAGAGACCCTCCGTATTCTTCATGCACAGAGACATCAGCCAAAAATTGCTAAGCAGACGCAAAGGCTCTGAGAGAAAAAGGGGCTGAAGAACACAGGAGAGGACTGGACGGCAGCAGGCAGGCCCGCTCCCCTGGAATAAAGGACTGCACAGAAGTGAGGCCCCATTGCCCTCTCTTGAATTAGAAAAGGTATTTTTCTTTTGATACAAAAACACTATTAACACCAGTGAGCGCACGACTTGAGTGTACTTCTTCAAAGCAAGTGAAAGTAAAACTTTCTAGAAAGCAAATCAACAAGGTGTCTGAGAACCTCAGGAACAGTCTTACCCTGTGGCCCAGGGGAGCTCCTCGGGATCCCATCCTGAGGAAGAGGAATTTGGGATGTGTATACAAAGGAATTATTTGCTAGTTGAAAAAATGGAAGTAACCCACATCTCTGACAACTAGGGAAATAGTCATACAAATTATAACACATGTGTATGTTAAATATTATGCAGTCATTAAAATGTTTTCAGATAGTTCCAGTGGTGTTGGTGTGTGTGACCGTGTGTACACTGGTTTACAGCCATGTAGAATAAATACATACCTCTTGCCTCCATCCTGCTCCCTCTATAGCTAGGCCTCTGCTGTCCCTCCCTCCCCAGCCAACTTAACTTTCACATCCAACCCTTGTGCTCACTCCCTTGAATGTCCAAAACTCTCTTGTCCCTTCTGCTGCCCAGATTCACCTGCCCAAGCCCTAATCCAGGGGAAAGTGCTGCAGGGAAACCCCCCATGCTGCTGGGTCTCACCTGCCTGCAACGTCCCCCTCTGCCTCATCCGTGTCCACTTCACCTCCCTCGGGCTTTTTCAAACGGCACCTGCATCACCTGAGAGTCTCCATCTGTCCCCCTGCCCTCACCTGGTCACCCCAACTTGTATTTTCACCCTCCACGTGACTATGCAAATTGCTTTTCCTTTGAAAAAGTGGCTCAAATTCAGAAAGATCATAAGGAAATAGTTCTTCTTCTTAAATCTGTTTTCTCCACATTTCTACCATCAATTAGAAATGAACTGTCCTGAATTCTTGCAATAGAATTGGAAATTCAAAATGCTAGGACTAGCTGAAAGCAAGAGCAAAGTATTAGAAAATATGAGTCGGGCAGTGAACTTTTCACACCTAGTGCCAGCCAGAGAATAGAGCAGTTTCCAAAGGTCTGTCCCTTGGGCAAACGCATCATTAGCTGTTCCAAGGAGGGTTGTGTGACCCTTGGTTCTCTTTCTCTCCACTAGCCACCAGCTGTTCTTACAGACCACTCACTGTGGGGCCCTCACTGCTTTCCTGTTGTAAGCAGAGGGCGCCCCAAAGACAGAGGGACAGAGACAGAAAGACAGAGAGATAGAGAGAGATTTATTTGAGGGAATTGACTCAAGGTTGTGGACCTCGCAAGTCCACAATCTGCAGGTTGGAGATGGTAGGAAAAATTGATATTACACGTCAAGGGCAAAGATGGTTGAAAGCAGAATTCCTCCTCTCCCTGGGGGCCTCAGTGTTTAAGGACCTTTCACTGATTGGACAAGACCTCTCCCTCATGCAGGGTCAACTACTCTTCTCAAAGTCTACCAATTTAAGGGTTAAGCTTATCCAACAGTGAACTTCACAGTGAACTCTAAAGTAACACATGATCAGATATCTGTGCACCATGGCTGAGCCAATTCAACACCAAAACAATCAAGCAACACAGATAGTGAGAGCAGTAATGACACAACCACACACAACACACCTATTGTGTCCTGAACACTTGGCACACATGGCTTCATTTCGTCCTCAGTCACCTTCTCTGCCAAGGTCATCTGCCCTGGACTTTCTCAAACATAGACATGACCAGATATTGTGTTTCTATGGCAACAACCTCTCATTGGCTTCTCTGCTCACGGCTTTGATTTTCTTCCTCCAAAGGACGTACACCTTCAGTCTGGCCACGGACTCGAGCTCCAGAAAGGACGGTGAGGGCGGCAGCAGACATGACTTGGAGTTTCATCCTCCACAGACGTCGAGGAGTTTCAGCAGCATACAGGCTTTGCAGGTAATAGAATTCTTTTTTTAAAAGTAAACTGAGCAAAGCCACATCTTGCATTAAGTCCTGGTGGACAAGCCTCCTGGGTGCAGCTTCTGTTTCATAGACAGAACAGACCAGCCATGGGTCCCACCAGAACTGGGGCACAGAGGGCCTCGCCCTGATCCATCTGTCCTGGGCAGGAGGGAGTCCCTGTCTGTGCTCCTGAAGGCAGCTGAGTGCCCTGTCTGTGCTCCTGAAGGCAGCTGAGTGCCCTGTCTGTGCTCCTGAAGGCAGTTCCAGTCATGACGCGAGGACACTGGGCAGGGAAGAGGCAGGGCCCAGAATCCCAAGTTCCACCCAAATCCCTCATAAACAAGCCAAGCGACCCCCAAGGAAGTCATCTTCCCCGGGGCCTTGGCTTCTCATCTTTGGCACAGGACCGGGCAAGGTGAGGAGAAGCAGCCTGTGCTCCATAACCCAGACGCACTGCGGCCTGGGGGCCAGGGGCCGGCACGGAGTGACCTGGAGCCCTGCCACCCCTGAGTAGCATGTGTAGGAGGGCAGGCTGCCCCTCCCTGGAGGCAAACAGCGATGCCGTGTCCCCCGCCCGGGCACCGTCTGTGTGGTGGGAAGGTTGGTTCTCTGAAGTTTTCCTCATGAGTAGAGGCACCTGCATCTGACCCTGGGCAGTGGAAAGGCCTCACTGACCCATGTGGTTTCCAAACTGGCTCTCTCTGCCCTGCCACAGACACACGTGTTTTGTGAACATCTCTCCTCCCAGACCCTCCCTGCTTTAGGGATCTGAAAGATGGGGCTGGGACCTCAGTGGGGAGCACACAGGAGCCTACAGGCACATCAGATTGCTAGGGTGACGTGGGACGTCCCGTGTCCACCACAGGCCAGGTCCTGGTGCACAGAGGCTGCTGCTGCCCAGGACTGGGGTGGGGAGCCATGGTCTGGCTCATTCCAGAGTCTGCAGAGCAGGCCTTGGGGCCTGGTCTGGGAGGCTCCCTCCACAAATAGCAGCAGGACCAAAGGGCCCTTTGGGAACTTGTTACTGAGCACCCAGAGGCCAAAGCTCACCCCCTGCTGCAGAGTGAATTGCACTCCAGCAAAACTTCTCTATTGCGTTCCTCACCCCAGTGCCTCAGAATGTGACTCTGCTTACACCTGCACCATTAGGGGGTGATTAAGTTCAAACAAGGTCACAAGGGTGTCCCTCATCCAGTCTGACCAGTGTCCTTGTAAGAAGAGGAGACAAGGACAGAGACACACAGAAGGACGGCCTGTGAGACACGGGGAGGAGGTGCCGTACACACGCCCAGGAGACCCAGTCTGCTGCCCCTGACCTCAGACTTCCCGACTCCAGGGCTGGGCGAGAGTCCTCAGTCTGCAGTCCTTGGGCAGCCCTGCTGACTGCCATGCCCTTCCTCCCTCCCCCAGAGCCCTTCTGCCCCCTGAGGCAGCCTGCAGGCTGGGGTGAGCTCAGCCCAAATAGCAGCTAAGCATGGGGCCCTGGATGCTGCGAAGGCGGCAGGACCCTCCTCACCACCTGCAGAGAGGGAGGTCCAGGGTCTCGGGGCTCCTGCCTGGAGGGCCATAGACCCACCAACCATGGAACAGACAAAGACGGAGCTCCCTACACCCAGGCTCCAGAGAGAGCAGGCCCAGGAGGGCTCTGCCCAGGATGCAGAGGATGCTGGAGTGGGAGCCTGTGGCTGAACTCAGTGGCACTCTGGGTGGATGAAAACAAGACTGTGTCCCTGTGAACTGGCCCTGCACTGTGTCTGACTTTGTCCCCCCCATCAGTAAGAATAGAAACTGTGGCAACAGGCCTGGTGTAATGCATCTGTGGGAGACCAGAGGATGGCCCTGGAGACGGGAGGTCCTAAGCCCTGGAGCTTTTGCATGTGACCTTGTACAGAAAAAGAGACTTTGCAGATGGCATTGACTTAAGGATCTCAAGACAGGGTGATTTACCTGGGCCGTCCAGCTGGATCCTAAACCCAGTCATGAGTGTCCTCACAGGAGAAACCAGAGGGGAGAAGGGAGGTGGTGTGATCCCAGAGGCAGAGACTGCAGTGACGCAGCCACAGGCCCAAGCGCCTGGGGCACCTGGGGCTGGAAGATGCAGAGTGGGGCCTTCGGGATGGCCGCCTCTGAGGGGCGGAGCCCTCTGACCCCCTGGCTTTGGACTTCCGGCCTTTGGAACTAAGAGAATCAATCTCACTGCTGTTTGCCACCAGCTAGGGGTGACAGCCCTGGGACACTTGGGCAGCCCATCTGTCTGGAATCAGTGCCGCCCTCCCCATTCCACAGACCCCCACCCCCAGGGCTTAGTCCCTCTGTTCCCCACAGACCTTTCTCTCACTTTATCATTATATTCTTCTTGCAAAGTTCAAAGTATCAGAGTTCACATGTCTGGGCTCTTCAGGTAAGAAAATGCCCCAAACCCCAACCTCAGGCTAGTGCAGTGACTCGGAGCGTCCCTGGGAGACTGAGTCTCACGCACCTGTGTGCTTTTCACCTTCTGGCAGACCTGCCCTGGCATCTGCAAGGGGAAATGACTCTTGGTATTAGCATGGGCAATCTTTTCAGGAACATACTTCAAAGTTTTGAGACGGAATGATAAACCTTCCCCTTGGAGCTCTGGCCCAGGAGGAGAGTGTCTGTATCCAGAAGCAAACCTCCGCAGTCCTCCAACAGGAGGCAACAATACTCCCTCGGCCTTGACTGCACCCACGGTGAAGACCCAGCCCCGTGGCCCTGAGAAGGTGCACCTGGAGATGGCACATATGCACTTGTCCGCTCACAAATGGCACGGTTTATACACATGCCGAGTGCAGTCAGTGCCATCGAGATGGTGAAGTCCCCTCAGCAGCCCAAAGTCCTGCTTTGTCCAGGGTCAGTGTGGACGAGTGGGGCGCAGGCTCAGGATACCTGTGGGGCAGGTCCGTTTGCCCCAGCCTGCCTTCTGGAGTCCCCTTCCTGGCAGTCCTGGCCACTCTTGCTGGAGGAAGCATCTGCTTAGTGCGGGAGCAGATCCAGAGGGCTGGTCGGCATCAGCCCGGCATGTCTGATATTAAAGGTATCTGCAGTTCCCTCTCTGGGGTCCGGGGAGTCAGGGCGGTCTGTGCAGGACCATCTTCTTGGTTCTTTATCAGGAGTGAGTCTCAT